TGTGCGCTGAACGTGCCCCTGGCAGGCAGTTACCAGTGTCCGCTCAGCTCTGGTAGCACCGTGGTCCCCCATCCACTATGAATTCATCACTGCCACCTTCTGCGTCGCCACAGGTAAAAAAAAAATAAAGTACAGTTAGCAATCGACACTCTTTATTTTTAATGTGAAAGCACTCCTTGTACTGCGAGCAGTTTCAGTCAAGGGCCACAGGTGGTACGACAAGCTTGAGGAACTGTTTGGAATGGTCTCTGTGGTATAAAAATACTTTAGCTCAAGTTAATACTTGGACTTTTTATTACAAGAGAATTCGTCGCTGCTTCTTATGTTGAAACGTGTTGCCTTTTCTAGAAGCTTGGCCCAAGCTTTGAGAACAGCACCACAGAGAAACAGAGGCAAGAACTCCAGCTTTTAAAGGCAGAACTGAAAGATCGTGATGAGGAACTCAATGACATGGTCGCAGCGCACCAGCGACAGCGTCTGGCCTGGGAAGGCGATCGGCAAAAAGTACTGACTTTAGCCGAACAATGCAATTCACTAAACAGTAAGTATTGTGTGTATAAAGAGAGAGAGCCTGGTCCTTTATGTACAGTGCTTAAACCCCTCAATAACAGTTTTGCATCGTATAAGGTATCATTTCTTACCCTTCAGCCTTAAAGTTGGTCATTTCTTTTCTGAGATCAAAACTTCCACAATGGTACTAAAGTCATGTGGTCTTAAAGGGGCTATAATGATCAGATAGCGCCTTCTCCTTTGTATATGTAGGTTGGTTTTGTGGGTTCTTTAAAACAAAGAAACAAACAAACAGATAAATAAATAAATAATTGAGGAGGAGGAGAACGGATTTTAAAAATTGCAGGACTGCCTTCTCACACATACCTTGTCTCCTTTCTTTTCAGATGAGCTGAACAAGAGAAATGAAATTATAAAATCACTGACACAACATAAATTCAAAAAGCTGTCTCAAAAAGTAACAGAAGCAACTGTTCGCTGTCAGGCTCTGGAGGTAGGAGTAGAATAACGGTCTGAATTTGCATGTACGGAATGCCTGTGGCATTTCTGAGTGTCACTAGTGAATAAATATTTTGTATTAAGGCACCTGAGTTGCATTTGTCTTTTAGTACAGTAGATTCAGGTATAACTGATTCCTTCATTTGGAAAAAAAAAAAGACCACAACCGAAAAACTTTCCTAAACTAGGATTTGGAGTTTGCTGTTTGTTTGCTTAGTTTTGAGGAACGCTGCTCAGAACCACAGTGTCGGGCACCGTGACTGCAAAAGGCAGTGCTGGCCCCCAGAACAGTGCTGTTGCTTGGTTAAGAATTTCCAGGCGATTTTCTGTACAGCGTTGAGTATTACCAACGGTGACATTCTGAAAACAGCTTAAGGATATGGAAATAGTTGGTATGCAAGGGCTCTAGATATTTTTTAAAAGTGATTTGGCAACAGTGTGTTTATTGGGATAATTTTTCCCCCGTATGCAGTACAGTAAAGCAGTATTTGTGCGCTTTCATCTGTCTAATCGGCTTGACTTAAGACACGGGGGATATCAAGACCGTTGATCGCTAGCGAGTTCGGTTGTAATGAATTGGGCAACAATTTTTACTCCAGTCCTCTTTTTTCCAGATCCTCACAGCTTGCTCAGAATCCCACGTTGCCATTCGTGACATTTAAATAAAGCCGTGCACACATTCACTGAAAAAAGAGTAATTTTGACTCACCGAAGTAGTAACTGATGATCTTATTTCTTTTGGCCAGGAGAAAAACCAAAGTCTCCAGTGCTCAGTTTTGGAACTGTCAGCTAAAACAGGCCAGCTGCAAGCAAGGGAACAGGAGCTTCTTATTGTGCTTAAGTGGAAGGTAACATCTGTCATCTCATCAGGCACTAAATGTGGTCAAACTGCAGCGTGATTATTGGTGATTTTAGCCACCGTTGATCTCGCTGCTGTTTAATTCGTAGGCTTGAGAAGGAAAAAACAGTCAACAAACAATAAGCTGGTTTATTTTCATAAAAAGACTTGTTTCCTGGCTTTGATTTATTTTTTTTTTTTCCTCAAGAGCTCAGAAGAAAATCTGTGGCGTAGCTATAACTACTGCAGTAAGATGTACTGGTTTTTTGTGAAAATCCATGCGTGAGCTAGAACAGTAATCGAGAGTGCATTCTATTACATATTCCAGGATGAGATTATACTTGAAACGACCGATTACATTACTGAGTCTACATCTAAATTCAAAAAGCTGGACAGTGCATTGCGTGCAGCAAAGACGGCGGAATTCAATCTCAACAAAGAAAAGCAAGACCTCCAACTGAGACTGAAAGAACTAGTGCTTGAAACAAATGAGCTGAAAGGTAAATGTTTGTACAGGGCACCTAATGCAGTGCAGAGCGGCTTGATTCCTTCTCGTTCTGTGAAATGCTACGTTTTGTTTTAAAGATGACCTTTGTGCAAAGGTGGAAGAAAATAACAAGCAGCAGGAAGAAATCATGCACCTCAAAGAAGAAAACAGCTACTTGAGGAATGAGCTTGCGCTTGCCGGTAAGTCGGGGCAGTTGGGTTTTCATGCCTTGGCTTTCAGCAGCTCAGAGGCTTCGATGTGCTTGCTTTGTGTCTGTTCGCTTCAAGTCATTAAAAAATTGCATGTTTTGAAACAGTTGAGAATGCAAAGAGAAAAGATCAGCTTCTACAGTTCGCCAAGTCTAAGCAAGCACAGACTGACACAGAGCTGTCAAATCTGCGACAGGTACAACCCTAATCTGCTTCTACTCTGAGGTTATTAAGACATCTTTCAATAAGACCAAATCGGCATGGAATACTGTAAAGAATTTAGATCTAACTGTTATTAAGTAAGAAGAAAAATTGCTGTTTCTGCCTTGTGATCCCTATAGAATATTGATTTTTTTTTTTTAAATTATTTTTTAAAGCCCGTGGTACAAAGCCTCGTGTTTACTTGTGCTTTGAAGCTTTTTCTGTGTAATTTTATTTACTCAGTCTTGCAATGTGTAAATACCCCCCTGGTAGCAGTGAAGTGGGGCACCCTGTTGAGATAACAGCCTGTCAGCAGGTACGTGTGACCGGAGCGTGCCAGGCTCTGCGAGTCAGGTGAGAGGCAGCGGGAGCACACCTGCCCAAGAGTTGCCTTATCTTCAATGGTGTGTTATCTTCTACATCAGCTTTGCAAAAAATCCCCTGCAGTGAAAGCCAAATAGCGGGATCGTCATTCCATGTCCTGTAATTCTGCATAACTTTGAAGACTATAATAACAACATGTAGAAAATACCAAATTACAATAATGATACTGTATTTATGGTTCAGGGTGGTTCCATTTTAGAACACTGCTGCGTTCTTCTAATTGAAAGACTGTTTAGTACCTAAATACATGCAGAGATGACCTCTTGGATTTGGAAGGCTTTGACAACAGTTTGATTATAAAAATGTTTTAAGGATAGTTTTGGAAGGCGAGCAACCCGATGACAATGTTCCTGCACTCCAAACTTTCACTAATGCACGTTACTATCTTTAAACAGATCTACGTGAAACAGCAACGTGACTTGGAGTTTTTTCGCGTCAATTTGGAGAGCTCTCAGCAATTAAGGCAAATGCATGAAAAGGCGGCTCATGAAAGGAGGTAAAGTGTTTTTATTTTTTTTTTATAAGTAATTTATTCTCAGAAAGAGGCTCCCCTGTTCAGCCACAACTACCATCCTAAACCAGATGTGTCAAGGTGGCTTTGCTGGACTTGGCCACAAACATCCAGTAAAGTTGACAGATACCTGTTTTTTTGGTCAGGCGACACCATGCGTATCAGTCACAGAATAAAGCTTGTCTGCAGGCCAGACAGTTAATGATTTTTTTAAAAAAAAAAAAAGTTACGGTGGTAGGAGTTGTTAATCTGACCCACTACTACTTTTGTTTAAAACTCAAACCTTATTTTGCTTTCAGATTAAGAAATAGGTGCACACCCGTGGAGGTTCAGGCAGAATTGCCATGCTGTATGAAACATAAGAGAACTCTTGGGCTGATTTTGGGAACTAACAGCCAAATCTGGGCAGAATTCTGTTGGCTTTTGGCAGGATGCAGCTGCCTGTCAGTATACAAACTATCGCAGAACTGTGGCAACAGCCTCTGGTTAACGTGTCGCTTTAACCTTGAGGACAGTTATGTATGCTCTTTAAATGCAGTATTTCTGACTGTTTTCTTTGTCATGCTATTGCAGCATAGCTGTGGCATTCTCTGCCCCTGAAAGTAACAGCAAGACAGACGTGATTAGCACTGAGGGCACCCACGGGATGTGCGAGGACTGGGGAACTGCACAGGTTCCAAGAAAAAGCAAAGAGGTTCCTGCTGCAGTTCATGAGTCTGAATCTGATTCAGATTCTGCGTGGTGGAAGCCAATATCAGATCTGGAGTGGCTGAAGATTTTCAAACGCATACGAGGACATTAAAGTGTATGGCATGGAAAAGATTGCAGCCGTCTCAAGACTGCACAAGAGATGAAATGTGCCAGCTCAACAAGGTTATGTGCTTGTTACACGTAAGAAATAGTGAGGTGCAAGCTGAAGTTATGTAGAAACTTGGGTGTACAAGCTCTCGTGTAGAGTATATGGTGTTTTAGAGTTGGTCTACTGTCTTGAAAAGCAGTAAATTTAAAATAAGTTATAATAGCTCTAAGATATCATGATTGTATTTTTATGCATTTCTTTTTTCACATCTCTTATCCCCCAGAGCTGTGTGGGTAGGAGAAGCTGCCGTACCACAGAACTTGCTGAATCAACTCATTGAGAAGAATGCAGATTTTTAAAATCTTAGGGTTTTTTGAAATACCAGCTGTTGCTTGTAAATCTGGTGGCTGAAATACGCTCTGCCAGTGTTGGATTTCTGCGGCGCCGTTTCTGTAAGGCAAACGCACCTAGATTTTGTGTGATGCTTTCGTGACTGTGTTATTCCTGTTGAGAAATCACACATTGGCTGGGCAAGAATGTAGGACAGAGCTCTTCCGCACAGGCTGCTTTCCTCACTCAGGGCAAGAAAATGAGATGGCAAGATTTAAAGGACAGCAATCTGTCCGCTTTGTGCTGCATCGTTGCTCGTGGAACTCTCTCTGTGTGTTTCTGTTGGTGGAGGAAAAAGGACGTGTGGTTGGAGATGAGCGGAATGAGGTTTCTGAGGAGCGTTGGGAAAATATTCAGGTGTCTTAGTGGTGTTGGAAGGTATCTGGGAGATAAATGCTGCTTTGCATTTGTAGAAGTGGTTTTATACCTGCACAAGGAAGGGTGTTCAGAGCTGTGAACTTCTGTGCATTTGTTGTCTTGGTTTCTCTGTTTCCTTTCCAAAAAATCGACTGACTTACCAGCTCGACTTCAGAAGGATTTCTGAAGTTCTACAGAGATTTCAGAACTGCCTTTTTAGACTGAGAAGAGAGGGAGCAGCAGTTTTTCAGCTGGTAACTTGACAAGTGCAGTAAGTGAACAGCTGTTTAAACTGGCTGAGAATTTTAGTCAGCAAGTCTGCCCCACGTCCGAACGAATTAACACGATGGAATGGAAGTATCGGATGTGTGGATACTTTCATTTGGTGTTGCTTTTAAAACAAAAATACTACAGAAATTGTTCCTGCAGTGGGACAGACCTTGTTTAGTAACAAGGTGAATGGGCAGCCGTTGGAAAAGAATGCTGTCCCGGCACATTCCCACCTGGCTTAGCCCAGCTTCACGCTGTGCGTGGACTCTCTAGTTTCCACTGTCTATAAATCATTAAAAAGGCTCCCTTCTCCTTGAGTCTGCCCTGACCTTTCTTATCTACTCCCCCAGCAGCACAAATGACACGCTGCCACCCCTCCAAATCTCTTTGGAGGCTGAATGGTGAAACTGCTTTCGCTTTTTGTCTTGTCCTTAAGAGGATTTTAGGGGAGACAGAACAAATTCCATGCGGGGAAGTGCCGCAGGAGCATTTACCCTTCAGCGAGGGAGGGCTGCTCTCCCCGTTTGGGATTTGCTGCGGAGCTCTCAAGTTTTCTTGATGCCTACATTTGGTCAGGAGCCCTGGCTTGTTGGGGACTCCGTGCAAATCCCAGCCTCTCCACTTTGCGTCCTCAACTGACTCTGATTTGCCCCAGAACAAAATCTCGCCCCGTAAATGGCAGGAAGGCACTAACATTGTTTTTTTCCACGTGGGCTTCTGTTAAGGTGTTAGTGGCAGAGACCGAACACAACATTCCTTCTGGGACTTGAATCTGGATCCTCCAGTTTTCTCACTGCTGGCTTGGTAGTGCCGATGATGTATTTTGTGTGGAGGGAAGGGTGCTGGCACCTCCCTGTCAGCCCAGCAAATATTTTTGACATGAGTTCTTGAGTTCTGGAACAGCCAACAAGAAGGCGACTAACGCTGCCAAATAGCACCTTAGCCGACTGGCAGAGCGCTTGTGAAATGCTGTAGCGCAGGAGTCGTTTCTCGGCGCTCTGACTTCATTTATGTTGGAGCAGCTTTTGCTGCCTTTGGATTTTTATCCTGGTTCTGATTTTAGAAAGGCTCTCCAGAGCCTTTCCTCATCAGATGCACGCAATCATGAGCTTTTCTCTCTTAAAAGAAAGCCTTTTGTATCCCTGGGTTTTACAAGAGAAACGACACGAGGCACAGCAGATGCTTCTGAGCTGGCCTTTCTCACAAGGGCTTTTGCTTAGTGTTATAAATTGAGGGAATAAAACCCAGGAGCCAATTTAGAATTTAAGTGATTCATAAAATTTATTAAATTTAGCAAGCGGCTGAGTAAGCAAAACAGCGCTGGGCAGCGGGGAGCAGCTCTCACCAGGAGTGCTCATACCACAGCTGCACCCGTGCACGGGCAGATACCTTGGTTATATGCACAGAAAATTACATATTCATTAGATGTTGGTCGGCTGCTCCTCCTCTTGACACCTGCGCAGTGCCTCCTGGTGGTCTTGGGCAGGGGTCTTCAGGTATGAAGGCTGTAGGTCTTCCTCACGATAAACTTTTACCTTGGTTCAGAAACTAGTTGCTCTCAGCACATTTCGGAAGATATCTTTGTCCTCGAATTCCGCAGGGGCCTTTCATCACCAGATGGTCCTTTATCACTAGGTTCTTGTCAATTATTTTTTGTTTTTATATACTCTTACAGTGAGTCCATCCTGCTAGTCTTTGTTCTTTTGCAGCTGGTGCTAGACAGCTCCCCCTGTGTACAAGCCTGACCTTGGTGCTGGGGAAGATTATGTTTGCTTAGCAGGATATTGTAGCCTAAACAACTTCATTTCTAGCACAGCATAAAATTTGATGAACAAATTCTGTATGCCTTCTATAACACTTAGGTTGAATGTCATTTAAAAATAAACCTTTTTTTGTAACAGTCTTGCCAGGTATGGAGTGCGGTGTTCCACCAAAATAAGGACCTAAAGAATATTTAATGAAATGTGGTAAATTTGAAGATAGTATTTGCTTTAAAATAGATAGATATTTTAATTATTAACCGGATCCAGGCAGCGCTAGCCCTGTGCTTCTCTTTTGTTCAGAAGTGTGATGAATACAGAAATGTTTTATTTTAGGGAGATGATTGCTGTTTTCTTCTTAAAAACTGTATGAAGTGGAAATCAGCAGTTGAAGCTGTGAGTAGAAACCAGGGCGCAGACAGCGCTTGCTGCTGGGGGAAATCACAGCGCAGGGGCCTTAGGGTGCTCCCGAGTTCCTGTGCTGCTGGAGTAGATGATCAAAATAATTTCAAACGTGGTACTTTTTTTGTTTGTTTGTTTGTTTCTAATCTTAATTTGTGATGAATTGGTGTTGGAGCTGAGCGAGGGATTTGGGACGTTTTTGATCAAATTGTGGTTTAAGGGATTGAAACTGAGAATGGCTTTTCTCTAGGGCAGCCTGTGCTGAAGTTAACTTGTGTGGGAAAGGTGTAAGAGAAAAATTTCAACCATTTCACAGGCATTTAAGAGCTAAAGACCTTTCGTATTTGGACAAACTTGGGATGGCTGCGAGTCGGCATTCAGACAGTACTAAGGTGCAGGGCATGCTTCGTGGCTTTAACTGTCACTTAAATTGCTTTCCAGATACTCCTAAATACAATCAGATACACCCACTGCTAAATTATTATCTTGTTTTGCTTTAAAACCACGGGGAAGGTGTAGGCAAATAGATCGGTTGCTTCAGCCCCACACTGAAATGGGAGTCAGGCAACTGAGTTTTGGGTTTAATCACAGTTTGCCCCAACAGCACCTTACTGTTTGCTGCTGTATTTAAAAATGAATAAAATAAAGCCTCTTTGGGAAAGCTCCCCTGTGATCGCTGAAGTGAGCTGATGACTTTTCAAAAGACGGTGGAATCCCCCTGAAAAGTGCACCGGGAAATATCAATTTGCCAAATGGTCGTAAAAAAAGAGAGTAGGGAATGAGAGAAGAAGGAATACCAAAGTATAAAGAAGAACTAGAGATGTTGTGCTCTTTGGAAGATTTAACTGGGTTGTCAAGCACGTGGTAATGGGGCTGTTCTTGAAACTGGTTGAACGTCAAACTGTTGTCCTCAGAGGATGAAACCGATCTCATGGAGCTGTTAAACATGGGAACCACTCTGAGGAACAGAGTAATTTTGCATACCTGATGGTTTTCTTGGCTCAGAACCCATAATTATTTATGTTGTCCCTCATAATTATTTATGTTGTCCCTCATAATAATTTACGTTGTGCCATGAAAGTTTAACAAGGATGGTCATACTGTTCCTGGCAACGTTGTGGTTTTGTGGTTTTTTTTTAAACAGTGAAGAAATTGTGGATCTGCATTCTTTTCACTTGGATTCTCCCTGTTTGATGGCTGCCCAGAAAGGAAACAGGCCTCAAAGATGTGAGAAATTCTTTAATGAAGACTTCCCCGTGGAGATCAATAACCTCTTAGTGGCTAAGCCAACAAACAGATCCTGCAGTGCTACCACGGACCAAGTCAGTGTTTTATTGCAGAATGTACTTCATTAATTTTAAGGGGAATTGGGGCTGATGGTAGGAAAGCAAATGTCTGCTGGCACGGCAGAACTAGGGACTGGAATGATGGGACAGGAGGATTAAAGCAAAGGGGTAAATTATTGTTTCAGAATAATTCCTTGCTGTCTCAATATGTCTTGGACAGCGTAAGTGTGACTTCAGGGGAAAAAAAAAAGATGAGGTTTTAAAATAAAAGGCTTTAGGATAATGGATGATGGGAATTCCAATACAGCACAATATCTGAGTACTCTTCGACACAGTTATTAGCAACTCTTGGACACTGTTCTTTCTTGTTTTGCCTTTCTTGCTTTGTCTCTTTCTCATATCTTTGTTTACTCTCCCATTTATCACTCCAGTGCTCCTTTTGTACATCCTATGTATACATGCATGCAAAGATCTGTTCAAAAGCTGACCCTGGGAAAGGCTGCCGTGTTTATTAGAAATACCATCATTTAGACCGTCTGGAGCAGCGTTACATTGTAGTATTTTGAACTCAGAATGGTTCTCCATATGTTACGATCCTTCCATGTGTTCCAGAAAGATCACTTCCTAACTTGGCCTCACTTTCTGTCTCTTCCAGGACACCAGTTCCCCCATAAGCAAGCTGCAGCAGGCGTTGGCCGAGGCTCGACAGGTGGTTGCTGATGTGGAGCTTAGCACTGTCCTCCGTGCGAGCCCTTGCCGCCGTCCAAACAGCAGCAGCGTTAATACAGTACATATATCGCTCGTCCGTGACTAGATTTGGGTGCTCAGGAATAGCGATTGTGAACATCCTTTCCCTTTTGCTCCGCTTGTGCTACGACATCCTAAATGAGACCCTCCTCACGCTTTGCTGGAGAGAAAATTCCTGTGTGCCTTAGCACAAAGTACTTGAGTTTGGGGGGTTTTTTATGTGGGATTCTTTAGGGCTCCTCAAGGTCATGACGGGATTTGGCTTTTGCATGTGTCTAAACAGATGGAAGGAAGAAGTCGTTTTGGAGCAAGCTGTAGGAGGTCTAGAAAAAAAGCAGACACAAGTATGACTTGCATTCAGAACTGGTTTATTACGTGAGGGGTATTTGTGGAAAGGAGGACAGTATAGGAAATAGGTGATATATAGAATGGTTCTGGATATGAATGTAAGCCAGACCTGCAGCTCAAATAACTTTAGAGTTTTTGTGGGCTAATAGTTTTAGTTCCTTCATTGCAGGGTCAGAAAACTTACTTGGTGGTCAAACAAAATAACCTGTACCTAGCTGTCATGGCAATTTATGAGTGTGAATGCCGATGGGAGTTTCTGTTGGGAGTCTGTGGGCAAGAAGAGTGGTTGAAGAAGGGGTCACTTGTTCATTTTCACAAATATGCTTGAGAATTTCTGTTTTGTTTGACAAGGAGTTTGTACCATTTCTCACTAGAAATACATAAACCTGTGCTGATGAGTATCACAAAGGGAGGATTTAAGCTTTTAGTTTTAAAGCAGACTCCTAGTGAGAAGGCTGCGTGCTGAAACCTCAGCTTTCTTCTCAAAGGTATCGCCTCTCTAAAAACATTGCGCTCCTTTTGTCCTTAGATGAACTTAAACCAGAACGATGTGACTGTAAGAAACAGACAAAGCCATTTTGATAACGTTCAGAACCATAAAACCTCAGCTGTGCTGGGACTGACTGGCAGAGTGTAAAGGTTGTGTGCCAGCGTCTGCATAAACTGAAAGGGTATTTTGTTGGGGAAGTTCATCTGCGGGATTTCATTCGGCGGGAGAGACTGCAGCAGTGTAGTCTTTTGCAAAAGGCTGTCTTGTCGGAGGCATTCCT